GTCCTATTCTGTATCTATTCTGTCTATTCTGTATCTATTCTGTCACAAAAGAGTTGTTTTGAAATCATAAGAAAAATTTTTAAGGTTCATCCATCATTTTTTTTTAAGTAAAAAAGTTAAAAAAATAGAGATAAATATGTATCCGGAGTATTTGGTGTACGGGCGTCTCTAAAGCGAATTTAAATTTTGTAATCATATGCAACCGTATAAACAAGTTTGTATTTATATAGTTGCATAAAGAATAGGGTTTCATATTTAGAAAATCTACTTTTATATTAACAAAGTTCTTGTACCACATTTTTTTAATTAGTTTTTCAATATTATTTTATCTGTAAGAACAATTAGAGCTAATATCTTCGTATTTCAATTTCAGTGAACAAAATTCTTGGATAATCCTGGATATTCACAAATCCAGAACATTTTTAAGTGATTATACTTGCCTCTTTTGCCTCAATCTACCATTACAATATGTTTGGTAGGAAAATTTTAGTCCATACATTTTTTTTTGTTTTGTGTTGTACATTGAAAATAATTAACAAGTGAAAATATCATGCATTTAATTCTTTTGTCACACATTTTTCCAATTGATAATAAAATTCTGGTAATATATTTTTTAAAATTGTTTTTCAATATTATTTTAGGAACAACAGTTGAAAAAATTGAAGATTAATAAATACTTTCTTAGAAAATTAACAATTCCCTTTACTTTTTGATCAGACTTCGTATACAGGGTGTCCCAGAAATAAGTGCCATAATTTTTACCATATACTTAATTCATCAAAGCAAATACTTTCATCTATTAATTTTTTCCAAAATCTTAAAATTTTAGATTTGCCAAAATAGAAGACGTGTCTTGTTATCCAATACCATTATATCAGGTCTGAAGACTGACGTTAAACCACCCAAACACTTCCGAGTACCGAGTGGTTATAATTTATTTGTGCACTTAAAGACATATTTTCGAAATAAAGATGATAAATAAACTGAAAGATGATATTAGTAGTTAGATCAAGTGATTGACGGCTGAGTTACGCAATACTGGAATAAACAAACAATAGAAACGTTGTTTAAAATGTTTGAAAGGAAAATACTATTACACTGAAAAATAAAGAACAGCTTGCAGATGGACATGTCTATAAAATCGGTAGTGCAAACAAATTGTGTTATCTCAGAAATGGAGACGTAACGAAAACGGAAATGTTTCTGCTCATAACTTTCACGAACAGACGAACCGATTGAGACGAATCGAGTAGGCAATGATAGAAAGGCAAAAAATAGGCCGCATCTAACTGTGTCCACACTGACGTGAATATTGTTAACTAGCTATTCAGGGTGTAAGAAGTATGACTGCCACAACTTCAGCATGAGATAGAGTAATCTTAAATGAACTAAAAAGTTGTAAATTACAGGGGGCGTAAGCTTAACAGTTTTCAAAATACAGCGAGTGTTAATATTGGGGAGTTTTAACACAACATGAAAACAGCGCTACACAGCTGATGCACACTACGTGTGCACGCGGCGAACTTGTCCTACGGAAAAAATATAAACAACTATTATTATTAATTGTTTTCCAGTTTTTAAATAAATAAAATAAAATGTATCGACTTTGTAGTACGAAGATAGTGTTGTGCTTAAATTTTAGCTCGAATTTTAGTAATTATGAATCTCTTAAAACAGGAACTTAACTTTTAATCAAATTATCAATTTGAAAAATATGTAATTAAAGTACCCGATGATTCACGTTGTATTAAAATACATATTAAAAATAATTCAGGGACTTACCAATGAGAAAAATTCATAAAACGCACAAATACAAAACAAACTACAACATAATATGCTCAAAATGTCCACCACCATTTTCGAAGCACGCACGACACTCGATCCAATTTTCGCGCACTCGCTGGAAAACACTTCAAGAAAAGGAAATAGTGGTACGCAAAAAACACTGCGACACGGTCCAATTCCAGATACCAACACCAACTGAATTGCTTATTGATGAACTTCTAACACGCTGTATTCACCTAATAACGTTCGCTAATCTAAAATAGCCAACATTGTTCGCGAACAATATGTCGATAACTATAACAAAAGGCGTCCATTTAAAATGAATAGACATATTGTTGACATATCCACGAAAGTACATATCTTCTCAAATGAGGAAATTAATATCCTGACAATGATAAAACACTTATTCTGAAAAGCTTTGGAATGTAAACTCCTCAACAAATTCCTCTAAGCTTTGTCCCGTAAAAATAAAATTCCAAAAGACTGGTTGCTCTTAAAACAATATTAAAATGTTCGATGAATGAATGAAAATGAATACGATCGCTTTTCCACTTAAAAACCATCATTATTTACAGTAACACTTTCTTTAAAAAAAAGGAACTGTAGACATTAAACATAGCGGAAAAACGAAAAGTAGAACTGGATCTACATATTTGATTTTATTATTACACTCTATTATATACAAGTGTAACATGAACCGCATTTTTTTCTATTTTGTAATTCTTATAATAAACAAATACATTGATATTATCTGTCGAAAACGTTTTCTATTTTAGCGCAATGAATGCCATAGATATTTTAGTGTGGATAAACCGAAAGAGATTCATTACCAAAATTTCAGCGATTGTCGAAAGACAGCAAACGTTTTGCTTAGCAAAACGTTCAGTTGACGTTATTGAATCAAAATGTAGCTAAAGATGCTTCATGCTTGCAAATTGAAATGGACTATAAAAATCACTACTTCTGCAAAACGTTTAGATACCTGGCACGAAAATATATTACTCATTACTACTACTTGTATTCGGCTCCTATTTTGATTCAAATTATAACTATTTTATTTGCGTGAACATTTACAGTATTTCTTTCATGTTGCTCTTAGTTTTATCATTGTAACATTCGGGTAGCACACAGTTTGATTCTTTGATTATTGCTGTTGATTATTTCTTCTTCGACAATATTATTACTATTAGCAAATTTCTCGTTATCTCTCTCCTCTCTAAATGTCTAGTTTATTTGTAAAAGATTCCTTTATATATCCTTCGGCAACCTTTGAAGATTTCCACCCCTCATTAACCGGAATGGTCGTAGAAGATCGACGGAAACAATGTCCTGTGTATGTATCTGCAATTGAGTCATTTTACCAAACTGGTATGTTCTTATTACTTATCTGCAACCTTTGAACCTAAATCATCTATATCACTCGCATTTAATTGATACAGTTCATCTCGGCGACATGCACCGGCAACACCAAATATCTAGATATTTTCAAATTTTCACATCTAAACGTGCCTTATTTATTAAACATATATTATCTGGTACTTGAGTAATAAACGTTTCAAATTGTTTATTTCACAAAACTTTTGACTTCTTTGGTTTATAGTTGCCATACTTATCTTATCTTCCTTTGTACTAAATGTACACTTACCTTGTAAGTGTTGCTTTCAACATTGAATAATTTGACCATAACGTAGATGCCTTGTAGATAAATCGGAAAAGTATGCAATCATATCATTTTCGGATTGGGAGGTCGTATTTTTTTCAAGACCATAAGTCTTGAAACGTTTGTAAGCGAATTCGTACTTTTCCCTAGATTTGTTTGGTAATAAATTTAAAGTCACAGCTGCTACTAACACTGGTGGTGTTCCGGACACCCGAACATCATCACCACAGTCCATTTTAAATATTCCCTGGTAACAAAATCTTGCACAAGACACTTGTACAAGACTGCTGTGCACCTACTGCTGAAATCAGCATCAGGTTTACTGCAAGATTCATTGTGCAATTGTCTTGATCAAAGCTTTCAATGGATTTGATTCAGGGCACTTGAGTATAAAGGGGTAAATTAAAGCAAAAGTGACTATGTTGCAGACTTACATTAGAATTAAGTAAAACATATTGTACTTGACTTATACTAATTCACCCGTTTGGACTCAAGTACTTTTGGTTAAGTCTGGTGCAAGTATTGTAAAAATATAGATACAATTATTGTAAAAATATCTTGCATAAGAAACGATATAAATTCCAGCATAGACACAAAACAATCTGACACAATTTGGCTATTTTAAGTAAACTTGAAACAACTTGTATTAGAATTGCACACGATTGTGCTACCAGGCTTGTTTTAATATATTTTTGCACTTACAGTATTAGAACGAATTTGGCTTTTATCACAACAATAAATAAACAATGATTGTCAAGGAAACGATTTCAGCAATTAGATTGGAATGGAGAAATGTTAGGTAAGTAGGAAATAATTAATTTTCGGACCAAAGTACTGTGGAGACTTATGATCAGTAACACAAAACCAACAACTTATCACAATTTGAACCAATTTGACAGAGCCCATTTTCATAAAGATGGTGTGGGGTCCTTTAAACAAAATCTTACAAGTAGTTTCAAACTTATTTGAAAAAACCGTATGTTTTTTGTCAATTTTGATTCCATCTAGCTGCTAGAAGGAGCAACTAAGTGACAGAGAAAAGTGAAGTTAATATCTGCTGATTCTGATGGACGTGGAATACTGAGACAGAGACACCCATAATCTTTCAGATACTAAAATGTAGGAATTAATTCTAAGCAAAATACAGATGTTGCTTCTAAAAATACAATCACTATAATGCAATTCTTGAATTTCTTTCTTATGGAAGAAACTCATCAGCTTTAAAGTTTGCAACATTTTCTCTTATTTGTCAGCAAGCCATTGATAGAAGTCTAGAAACTGATGTATAAATCGTTTTGTACAGCCAATTTGTTCTTATTAAACAATTTTTTTTTGTTAATTATGTTCCGCAGTTAATTTTACTGGTTCATCTTTCTTGTTGCTGCAAGTAAACTGATACAAGGGTTGTTGTAATACTAATTTTCCGTTCAGGAAACAGCGAATACGGCCGTTGGTGCCCAACGTCTTATCGGACGGGAGAAGTCCGCGATTCCCCACGTCGATGTGGGAGCCATCCGAGGCCCAGCTTCGCCGCGGTGGTGGTGGGAGTGCGAGAGCGCCGCGACGCCGGTGCCTTCACTTAGTGGAAAGCAGCATGTGGTGGTGGCTGCTGCTAGTGGCGCTGGCGACGGCCAAGCGCGCCCCTCAGACCCAGGAGCCCGTCATCGAGGAGGTCACGGCCAAGCAGCTGGAGCGTGTCCTCGCCGACAAGGACTATGTGGCTGTGTTCTGGTGTAAGTACCCGCCAAGGACCCTGTCGCGGCCTAGTGAGAGTGTAGAGTGTCGTCGCCGTCGCCGGGACACCGACATGCCATCTCCCGATTTGGCGCGAGTGATCCTCTGCTGATTTTCGTCGTGTAGTGAGATCCTCCCGCACAATGTGATGCAATATTAGGCGAGCGGCTGGGCCGGGAATCGGCGGTCGGCTGGGGGCGGTCGCGGTTTTTGAAAATTTCGATGGCGGCGGCAAAATGGCCGCACGGTCATTTTCGGCCGGAGCATGGTGTCTTGCCGGATGGCTCGGGCATTCTCTGAAGATATTTTGCACACGCAGTTCTATTCTAGCCTGGACCGAAATAAACTGTTATGTTCGTACAGGGTGTTTAAGCAAAAGCCAAAGTGCAACCTTTCCAATTCAAAGATATTTCTGATAAAATAACATGACATTTTTCAAAATTATCTTTGGTAAAATTTACATCAACAATCGTCAGTATCTCGAGGGTGATTGTCATAACAGAATGGAATATATTTAAAAATGTTTTAAATAAAGTAAAAAATGATTTGAAGGTAATATTTTCCAACCGAATTGTTTAAAATGTACAGTGTGATTACCTACGAATTGACCGATTTCAACACTCTTTGCCTCGGCAATTGTTAAACATACAAAAAAAATAAAAATAAATCCTTTAATGATGGTGTTTGTGATTCTCATACAATTTTTTTATACTTAAAATGAAAAAGACTTGATATCATCATTCTTATAACACTCTCTTTGCTCATATATTTTTTATTATTCAGGGTAGATCCATCTATCGAAATCTCTAAAGGAATCATTTAAAAAATTATAAATGTCTATCGTTCGTTTTTTAAAAAATATAAAATAACGTCGTCTTTAGATTCAGGATAAAAATCGGAGCATAAGTAAAAAATCATAAAACTAAAAGATATGTGTATTTCAACTTCATTCATTTTTTATATTTATTATTAACGGGCGCCTATAAATCTGGGGACCCTGTATATGTGTGACAACAAAAGATATTTTAATACTGATGAACTACTTTTTCTGTGCATCTCCAATAGTTAAAGACATGACGGACTTTGAAATTGAATAACCCATAAACAATCACTCACCCTGTACTTAATTTAATTGAAATTCAGTTTATATCCATGGAAATCGTATAATTGTAATGACATATTTAGTTACCTTATGTGGATATTTTTTTTCTACGATTAATTAAATCGATATTATACATTTTATACATATATATTAACATTTATATTAAAATAAATTGGCTTTCAATTTCAATTTTTTAATCGTTAATTTTTATGATTTAACACTAAAACAATTTTTTTCTATGCCATCGATTTGACTATTTAAAATAATTGAAAGTTGCTTTCGAAATTTTGTTTTACAAGATAAAAAATCACATTCCCTTTGCGAAATTGTTATAACTTTTTTATTAAAAATTAAAAAATATATCTATTTCTCTGAAAAGATAATTTGCATTTTTTAAATTAGATTGAACAAAAAATAATAAAATTCATTAATTTTTCTGCTTGTTATGATTTTTTAAATTTTTGAAATCATCCCTTAACTTCTAGTCTCTCTAACTCTGTTAATTTTAGTAGTACAAGAAAAAGTTAATCTACCATTTTTATATACATTTTTTATGCTCTACAACTTTTATAAGAAACTTTTTTCTCTAGCTCTTACTCCTTTTGAGTTATCTTGAAAATAACTTTTATTTTATATTTTTTCACCCCTGGTTGAAAAACCCACCCTTGAGTTGAAAAAAAAAATTACTGTCATTTATTGTTATTATATATTTCCAACTAACTTATAACAAAAATTCAGGCACGTTGACCAAAATTGAGATTTAAAGGCCAATTTACCTAAACTAAGTTGTCAATTGGAAATTTAAATAGATTTGACTCTTCAGTGGCAATATGGTTCACACTATACGTAGATGATTTTTCTGACAGAATTTTTTATAACCTCTCCAAATTCAAATGTCGCTTTGTATTATTTGTCGAGTCTGTACTTTTCAAACAAAATTCTTATAATATTTATTTACATAGACATTTCGTAAAACCCTAAATCAATTTTTCAATAATGTTGTTGGCCATTAAATTTAACCGATTTCTAGGATTGGAAAACTTATATATCTGCAATTTAACATTAGTAATTCAACCAATTGAATCTGCACAAAACATTCTGTACACATAACAGTTATAATATATTTAACCTACGCGTATTTTACCAAGGTTATTTAAATTGATACAAATGAATAGTTCATTTTAAGGGAACTGAAAAATATTTGATACCCCAGCATCGCCTTCTTAATCTGTGAGAATCATTCGGGAATTAGACGTTCGTCGGACCAAAAAAAAATGTTAAACCGCTTGCTCAGGCGACCAGTTCCACGCTAAAACCAAAATTTCCCAGTTACATAAGCTTGAATTAACTTGTGTGTCAAATCTTCCCGTCCACATCGAATGTAGGCCAGATTGTGTGTGAATAGAATTGCCTCGTGCTGTTCGCTCTAGTCTTACATTTTGTAATGTAAAAATAAACCTTATATCTCATTCCAACACATGATCTAGCATAATGAAGACTTAAAAATAGGTTCCGTGCTCAACGCGATATGCCAGCATTGTGAATCGTTGCAATATTCCCTATTATTATTATTTTCCTTTAATTGTTTGGTGTTATTAACTAATACGCTTTATTATTTGTGCATGTCTGTTATTGTTGACCTTGATTTGAACAGGGTTAAGATAACATTTACCCAAATACGATGTTTTGTTCTAAAGAACAATTGTTTGTTTGCTTAGGTAAAGAAAAATTATATTTATGAAGCATAATGTAATATGGCTAACTTTTATTTTGAATCAGCAAAAATTTGTGACAGATCTTGCTTAAGTAAACGCATTGTGTGTCAATAGAATAAGCGTAAAGCATGAAATATCCTTCTTGTTATTCATTTTTCATTCAAAACAATTAATTCTATGTTTTCTAAGACAACGTTACCAATATGTGGCTTTTATCATTTTTTTATAAATTTTGTCCCATCCATTTTGAAAAGTATCCATTCGCAAGGCCAGATAAAAATCGTTAATTAAATGGTTTACATCAGTTATTTCTCAAAATTTAAATAAGAATCTAGGAATCACAATCACTGAGAAGAGTACTTAATGGTAGAAGTAAACCGAGTTATAAAACTTTTATGAGAGAAAAATAATAGACTTATTTGTTCTTACTCTATAGGGAAAAATAGTCTTCCGTTTGAATTAATAAACGTTCTAAACTGAATTTTTAAATATTGCACCATAGAAAAGGGATAATATTCCGTTTGAATTAAGAAAAGTTTCAATTTTAAAATAAATAAAGACAGATTAAATACAGCATCTGGTTTTTTCAACTTCTCTATTAAAGAGTCCTTAATGACTATTCTAACATGACCCGTTATAACTTGAATAGATGGTATTCTTCACCCTTTTCCTCTGGAAACAAGACAGACTTGTACTTCAACCGAGATTAAATAAATTGTAGACCTTACGATATCATAAGAAGTTCCTATTGAAAGGAAAGCATTTTAGAAAGAAAATACGTTTTCAATTCTCCAGATAAAATATTAGTGAAAAATAGATGTCATAGTTTTTCCGAACAAGAGACTGTTAAGATCTCAGGCCTAGCTAAAGGAGCCTTCGAAATAATTTTAAGATTGTCAGTAGACCACCACCAATATAGTCAAATGCTTTGCAGAATATCAAAAATATAATTAATAGTCAGTGAAGCAAGTAGGTACTCGGTGGAATTCATTTAAAATTTTTAGATTAATCACAGATTTCGATGGACCATTTCGTCCAACCACTTGTTGTGTACGATTGTAAGGCATATTGATGGCATGTTGAACATGATTAAAAAAAATTAATCGTCAGTGTGTAGCAGCCAAATGGAATAAATAAATGGGGGCGTGTTCGAAAAAACGCTCGGACTCGTCGATTGGTATTTTTAGTTGCGACAAAAACTGTTTATATGGAGTGTGTCTTGAAACAGTAGTCAATACCAACTTTCTTATTTTAAATGCAACACCCTGTATATTATTCAATTTTTGGATTCTGCAGAAAATTATATTATTTCTAAAATTAACATTAAAAAAATAAAATTATTTGATTACAGAAATTCGCTACAACACACTAAATACCTACTTATTTCCCATTTAACTCTTGATAATGCTAAAGTAAACAAAAACTATTTCAGCGTTCCTTTTTACCGATATGAAAAAAAAAGTATAAATAGTCTTGTTTATTTTTGTTCATAACACCTAGTCCTAGCAACGTGTTGTCTGCCTGCAAGACAGTAGTTGTCAGTGTTATAGTCGTGTGAATTTCATTACTGCATATCAGAAACATGGTTCATTTAACAGAAATGCACACAATAAGAATTCTACAGATCATTGGGTATGGAAATAACACACGGACACAAATGGAAGTGGCTCTCTTATTTCATGAAAGATTTCCAAATTTACCGCCTATATCCCAAGGGACAATTAGTAAAATAGAAAAGCAATTTCGCGAGCTTGGACATGTAAGGTAGATAAAAAAGCAGCTACCAATGCAATAAGGGATGATACCAAATTGGATATTATGCTTGAGTTTGAGGAAAACCCACATATGTACTTCTAGTCGAAAAGCAGCCCCAATGTTCGATGTTAGCCATTCATCGATTATTCAAATATTAAAAGAAAATAAAATGCATCCCTGTAAAATGAAACCAACTCAGGAGCTCATGGAAGACGCTATTGGTCTAATGAAAATCCTCACTGGATTACAGAACAACATACGCAATACCCTGAAAAGGTTAATGTTTGGGCAGGAATTGTTGGAGATCATAATCATAGATCCCTTTTTCATTGATGGCAATTTGAATGGCTATAATTATTTAGCACTGTTCCAAAATAATGTCGTGCCAATTTTGACAAACTTATATCCTGATCCAGCAAAGCCACAA